AGGAATATATGAGAGAGAGAGAGAGAGAGAGAGAGAGAGAGAGAGAATAAAGAGGTGGAGAGAGGGAGAGAAAGAGGTGGAGAGAGAGAGAGAAAGAGGTGGAGAGAGAGAGAGAGAGGTGGAGAGAGAGAGAGAGAGGGGGGAGAGGGAGAGAGACGGGAAAGGGAGGGAGGGGGGAGAGACAGAGGGGGGAGAAAGAATGAGAGAGGGAGAGAGGGAGGGAGAGAGGGAGGGAGGGAGGGAGAGGAGGGAGCGAGAGAGAGAGGGGGGGGGGTGAGGGAGAGGGAGGGAGGGTGGGAGAGACATAGGGGAGAAAGAGTGGGAAGGAGAGAGGGAGGGAGGTAGGGAGGGATGAATAGAGATAGATAGAGAGAAAGAGATAGGAGGGGGGGGAGGGGGAGGGGGGGAGAGGGAGGGAGGGAGGGAGGGAGGGAGAGAGAGAGAGAGAGAGAGAGAGAGAGAGAGAGAGAGAGAGAGAGAGAGAGAGAGAGAGAGAGAGAGAGGGGGGGGGGGGGGTAAAGGAGAGAGAGAGATGGGGGGGGGGAGGGGGAGGGAGAGGGGGGAGAGAGAAAGAGAGAGAGAGAAAGAGAGAGAGAGAGAGAGAGAGAGAGAGAGAGAGAGAGAGAGAGAGAGAGAAAAAACAAACTTACAGACATACATACACCTCATGCGCACGAAATAACGATGACACATTCATATCCAAAAAGAATACTCATGTTTATAACCATACAATACTCTTGGGAAATGTTTAAAACAATCCCTTTCATACATGTGTGATTAGGTCTATGAATTGGGAGAACTGCCTAATTGTTCCCATTTCACAGTTTACAGTTTTTTTTTTCTTTTCTTTTTTAGAATAAGACTAAAATAATCTTAACTGACATCATCAAATGTCAGAAAATCACCCTTATGCTTAAGAAACGGAGGACTGACATCGTTCAAGTAACAAGGACTACATTTACGGTACGCGCTATAACATGTGTGGTTTCCTAAACTGGCATGTCATGGAAAGTCTGATCGGAAACAAAGTAGTAATGCAATGTTAAAAAACACAGAGATGCTTGGTGTGTTGGGCATTTTTTTTGTTGCCAAAATTATTCTCTGATTCGTGTTTGCGTATATTTCTATACACTTCATCTTTGTGTTTTTTACCATTTCTGTTTTTTTTTCTCTCCCTATTCTGTTGGCTTTGTACAAAACCACTCAGATCTTCTATGTGTCATAGATTTAATACATTTAAATTTTGCGTTTACCGGTTCCCTATACTGGAAGAATATATAAGCTGAGTGCTCAGCCGATGAGCAGAGAGCATCAGCTGAGCACCAGCTGATACACTCCTGCACTAATATACGAAAATGACAGATATAATCGCTGTACCTACGCAAAATCCTAACATACTTCATACTGTAATAATGTAGATTTAAATACAAAAACATAATAATATACTGATTTCTATTAACTGTTATTTTGAATGAAGAAAATATGGAGAAGCAAAATAAACTTGGTTAAGAAGCAAGCTGAGACAAGACGCCCTACAATCCACAAGCATAACTGCCTCATACTACAATCAACAAAGCCGACTCTGCGTTATGTCTATTTACATCCATATAAAGATATCATAAGATACATGGAGAGTCATTTCCAAACTTTACCTTCAGCCAAAAAACCCTCAATCTTTACAACAACAAAAATTTGAAAAAGAAAAGAAAAGAAAATATCATATTCCTAAAATAGTCAATCTCACATTTAAAACCGGAGGCTGAGATGAGGAAAAAACTCTCCCTCATAAACTATACTATCTTTCCGGACCATTCACATGAGATCACGGGTATCATTGATGAAACACAATTGTTAATATCAACTGCCTATCAAGCAATAAATACACGATATTCATAATCCCATTTTTTTATGATAAAACATTTTCAATGCAGCCACACATGCCCGAGACAAACTTAAAACACAAAAACACTACCAACATGTACATCCATCCAAAGGAAACAAAGGACACGAGTTTAGCAACCGAGGAGAGAAATACTTCCTTTTATACCAACATACACGTGGGAGAAAGAAAGAAAGAAAGAAAGAATGAAAGAAAGAAAGCTAGTCCCTCAACTACTGCGTTAGGATTTAGCTCACCTCGTTTTGACAGAAGACAAAGTAAAAAGTAACAACACAATTACCTTTCTCGTGTGCAAGTTTCTTTTCGGCAAGCTTTGCTAAACGGTGCTCGTTGCGGAACCCTACCATACTTTCCTTTCTCATTTCTATTACATCCTCTCTGGACATGCCCTTTCTAA